ACACAATATTATATTCTCTGATCTTCTTTTCCCTGTACTTTTGCATGGTGTTGTTTGCCCTCAAAACTTGCTGCTGCTGTCCAAAAAGCTGCATTTTTGTGCTGAGTGAAATAGTTTTGAAATTTTTTGCTTTCCTGATCTGATGAGGTTCTTAGGGACATGGTTTAGTGGTGGGATGGCAGGGTTAGGCTAAAGGTTGGACTCGATGATCTTAAAGGTCTTTTCCAACCAAAGCGATTCTATGATTCTGAAGCAAAATAAAGTATACTAGGGCCTTCAAATGAAGGGCCTCAGAATGGTAGAAATTATTAGGAAAAGTAACATACAGAAAATTATATTTGAGCTTTTCTTAGAGCTGCTTGAGGTTTCTGACCAATAGACTGCGTGAAGATGAGTTAAGTATGCTCAGACTTGCTTCACTGAGCACATAGAGGTGGAAGATGTCATGCAATTATGCTAGTGCCCCAAAATGATGCAAAGATTTATTATATAGATAAGTGTTTTCCAATTATTATAAAGGTATTTGGACCCATTTGTGTTATATAGGAATAAGCTGTTAAAACCCCTTAAAATAAACCTCTAAGAGGCTAGAAAGGAAACATCAAAAAGTATGTGATGGTGTGAAATAAAGGCCAGAATTAATTCGGGCCGCGTGCACCAACCTTTGTTTCATCCACCCCACACTGAGTCGAGGGGGCAGGACGGGGGGGCTGCTGGAGGGTTTGTTTGCCTGCATCCGTGCTGGAACAGAAGTTGTTAAGGGAGGAGCAGTACAATCAGCTAGAGATACCTTGATGTGCACAGATGTACATCGGTAGACTTAGATCTATTAGAAAAGCTGAATATATCTGGCTAAGCAGCAGGTGTTGGGTACAACGTAGCCATTAAGCACATTTAAGGAGTGTAAATTATGAAGCTGCAGAGGAATTAGTTAATGAGGTACAAAAGGGTGGAGGTGACTAGGAGTCAGGGGAATGAAATACTTCAGACTGGATCAGGAAAAACTTCCTGATGGTTTAAGCTGTAATGTGAAGTCTTTCTGTGAATATGTAAAATCAGTCTGGGGAATGAAGCCTGTAATGCGACGTACCTGCTGGGACAATTTGCAGTGGTAGGGTGTGGAAGAGATGACCAGGTATATACCCCCCCCGGAGTATTTTCGTCTTTTGAAGGTTTTTGGTTTGCTTTTCTCAGTCAGTGTCTGTATTTTGAGTGTCCAAGTTGTGCTTTTTAACTAGGTGAAAATGTTATGCATCATGACTTTTAAATCCAAGTTTATATACATTTCTGCATAGACAAAATGGGGAATTTAAAAACAGAGTAGGACGATTAATACTGGATAAAAGTTGGGATTTGCAATCTGATTGGAAACATTTGCCTGTTGGCATTGAGGTTACCCATAATTGTTCTTAATAGGTAAATTATCTCTGTCTTTGATAATCCTAATCGTTAGTGCAAAGCTTGGCACTGCCGGCAGAGATATGGAAGGTGTAGTGCAGAAGAAGGCTGGAAGGAGTCTTTCATCTCTGCCATCCCTTGCCAAGGGCTTACTGTACATGCAAATTCATCAGCTCTTCCATTGTGGAGCATTTCTATATCCTGGAGAGGGTGAAGTCTGGTAGTTAATTGCTCTGTACACTCAGGGGGCCATTCTCCAATGGAAGGAGCCTGAAAGGAGGCTGTAGTGAGGAGGGGGTCGGCCTCTTCTCCCTGGTAACAGATGATAGGACGAGGGGGAATGGTTTGAAGCTGCGCCAGGGCAGGTTTAGGTTAGATATTAGGAAAAACTTCTTCACTGAAAGGGTTGTCAGGCTCTGGAATGGGCTGCCCAGGGAGGTGGTCGAGTCCCCATCCTTGGAGGTATTTAAAAGAAGGATAGATGAGGTGCTTAGGGACATGGTTTAGTGGTGGGATGGCAGGGTTAGGTTAAAGGTTGGACTCGATGATCTTAAAGGTCTTTTCCAACCAAAGTGATTCTAAGAACCTGCAGGATGGGACCGTGGTGGCTGATGTTGCTACAGCATTAATAAGTATGTAGGGAATGTTCTGCAGAAGGGTATGGAGAGCTTTGTTGATTGATTCTGTTCCTACCTCCTCTGTCTTAGGAAGAGCCAGCCTAGCTAATCTTTTTTTATGAAAACAGCATGACTAATGTTCGCCTGCTAAACAGATATGCTGGATAAGATTTTTTTTGGCTGTTGTTTTCAGCTGTTATTTACAGGATCAATAAAAGTGATTTTCCAATTCAAGGATAATTTTTTTACCAACAAACTGCATAGCCTCTAAGGTCGGAATATTGGATCTGCTCTTTTTCAGAACAAGTTAATTTAAAAATGATAGGTAGTTTCCAGTTCAGAATTAGTTTTTCTAATAGAAAGGAGGGAATGCATCTGAAGAAACACCTTGGGGGGAGAGAATTTTGTCTCAGAACAGCATCATTACACAGTGCCCACAGATACTTAATGTTTTAACTGCTTTTCTTTAAACACTCATCACTTAACAGCACACAGTTTTTTAATGACAAATGCAACATAATAACAAAATGCAGAGCTGTTTTATTATAAACCTTGTTCAGTTATTATTGAAGTTTGTGTGAATACTCCTAAGGACTTCACTGGGCATTGGCTGATGCCCTCTGTAAAGTGCAATATAATATTTTGTGACCATAGAGAAGAGGATTCCATGCCATTGTGGAAGTATTCCAGGCCAATAGCAAGTGTATTCACACATAGAAGTTCAAATGCCATTCATTCCTTTTGCCCAGTTTTTTTATCTGCTTCTTTTATGAGCTGTTGAGAAAATCACATATACGTTACACATACACGTGCATACACACATATTTTAACAGATATTACAGTCCTCCCCTCTGCATTTACCCTTCTCCCCCATTGCATGCTTAAGATAAGAGCCTCCATTCTAAAAGGGCTGTCACTATCAGACTTCTGCAGTTCTGCCTCTATGGCTGGGGTAAGATACAGCTTTAAGTGAGTAAAATCATGCAGGTATCATTTTAAAAGCAGGAGCCCACACCTACTATCAGTATGAATTTTGCAGGATAAGAACGAAATAGCCATGAACTGTTATTCTACTAGAAGCACTACAAATGAACTTTACATGCCAGAAAAGCTGATTGGGTTTTTAGATGAAAAAAAAAAATTAATGATTTTTTAGATCAAATTCAACCCATCCCAAGCCCCAGAGCATCACCAACCATAAGGAGAGTCTCTCTACTTCTCCTGTACTCTAATAAGACTAGGGCTTTTGGGGTTATTCCCTGTAAAATACAGTCTGTGGAAGTCCACATAAAAATCAAGTGCCGTTAACTTTGAGAAGCTTTGGGTTCAGACCCAAAATATTGTAAGTCATCATGTTCCATTTTTCTCAAATGAATTAATATAAACATTATTTATTGTTATTAATACACATCCGTCCATTTTATTCAGGAAAAAAAATTGCATACATGCTTTATGATTCCCCTTTCCTCCTTTATAATAGGTAGCGTGTGGAGGAAAAAAAGAGGAAGGTTTCATTGATTGGTTGGTTTTTTGTTGGGTTTTTTTGACAGAACAATTTGATGGTGAAGATTTCTTAAAAAACCTAAAAGATACTTTTCTTTACCATGATTAGGGTGAAGTTTTCCTTCTTTAGATGGTGAATTGTTTATAACGTTTCAGTAGGAATCTGGCTTTTGGATGGCTGCGTTGCTGATGAGAGCTACTGGCAATAGAAGCTTTCTAACACTCAACTGCTAGTTTATTAAAAGAAGAATAGGAACAGATGTTTTCAATTCATAAAATGTATCAAATAAATGGTACATCCACTTGTTATTTCAATTCCTTTGAATTTTAGTGAACTCATTTGGGGCTAGGTTTTCAAACGAGCTTAGCCCACTGTCGTCTCATTGTTCTCAGTATAAACTGATGGATGATGAACGTGTTTGAAAACCACAGCTTTTTATGCCTAAAGGGGAGCTGCTAACTACTGATGCTTCTAAAAATCTGGCCTGTGTTTCTGATGAGTGAATACTGGTCATTATAGAGGATTCATATATGCAATCTCGGAGTAATACTCTGCATTTCTCTGTGATTGTATATATGATGGCTTCTTAATTTACTATTGCACTAGGCGTTTTAATTTAAATTATGCTAATAGTGTAGGATTAACTGTGGATTATGATTCTAGCATTTACTGTCATACAAACAGAAGAACCAATTCTTTTGCTCCACAGTCTCTTTCTCCCTTCTCATCCTGATGTATAGTAATTTGTACTCAAGACTGGCCTCAGGTTTTGATGAGGTTTCTTGTTTAAGCTGATGCAATTGCTTAGGGAAAGGGAGTTGAAAATCAGAAAAAGAAGAGACTGGGATTTTTTTTTATCTTCTGATGACACATTTTTATGGTCCTGAAATGATTTACCAATAACGGTGATTTAAATGGGCTCTTGCCAGCACTGCACAGTGAGCAGTTTTGATTTTGCCTTCATTCCTCTGTGGCAGGACAGGCTACATGTGTGTTGCTTTTGCACTCTTGGCTCAAATACATATTTGAGAAAACTAGTGCTAGGGGGTTATATTAAAGCCCTTATATAGGGTGAAGACTGAATAATACATGCAACAGGACTGAGACGTTGTGTTGGTCCTTGCTGGAGGAAATAGCAGGAGGCCAATGCCGTTGCTGTCTCCAGTACTGAAAAAAGCTTTGTAGCAGCCTGAGATTGCTCTTCTTGAAGCATAACCTCTCCAGAGACCTCCTCCACTCCCAAACTGCAGATGTGCTGGAAACACAAATTTGCCTCGTTATGTTTGCACTTGTTTCATTGTGTAGCGACCTCAGATTGTAATGGCATGCAGCCTGTTTGCATTAGTGACTTGCTGTTGAATTCATCTGTATTCCTTCAAATCCCTCATTTGTTGCATTTTTTGTGGAGTGCTTGATATTTCTAATGGCTTTGTGTTGTAGTAGCAGTCTAAAATTTGCCTTTTTTCTCTTTTTCCCTCCAGCTGATATTATTTCTACAGTTGAGTTCAACCACACTGGAGAACTGCTGGCTACTGGTGACAAGGGGGGTCGGGTTGTTATATTCCAAAGGGAACCTGAGGTATGTGAGTTACCAGTGTAGTCCTTAATAGCTTGCTAAAACCTGGCTTTATTTTTAATACTTTAATTGGATCTAACAAACAAACTTGTTTATGATCTTTGGAGAAGAAGTGAAAGAGGGTAAGGATCTTTTACTCAGAAGTTTGCTCTCCCAAACAAAAATGCTTCAAAGCTCCAAAATTCTAAGCTAAGAAAAAAGAAGGTTGTTTTTGTTTTACTTCTACATTGGTTTAATAGCTTTTGCCTGTTTGATGGAACCATTCCATTTAAGACAATGCCTTTGCTGCGATACCTTTAGGTTGCACTTTTAAATTCAGTCCATCTGCAGTGTCTTTTGTAGAAAGCTTTCCTGAATCATTGACATTTCTTCAAAAATTCTGCCTTTTATTAAATGTTACTTCGATACTTACAGGGAATTTCATTCCTGTAGAAACAAAGATGTCAATATCATGTTTTAAGTGAGAAATTAAATTACACTTTCAATATTTTTATATCTATAAGGCTGCTTATACACCTTTCCTAAGAGATGGAGATATATTGCCGTCATAAACCACATGTTTTTGTTATTGTTATTCTCCATAGAGTAAAAATGAGCCTTACAATCAGGGGGAGTACAATGTTTACAGCACTTTCCAGAGCCATGAACCTGAATTTGATTATTTGAAGAGCTTGGAGATAGAAGAAAAAATAAACAAGATCAAGTGGTTACCACAGCAAAATGCAGCTCACTCACTTTTATCAACAAATGGTAAGATAGATGACAGTATATAGGACATATCAGCATTTTGCTCGTGTGCATGTTAGTGCTGACTGCATATATTTGTTCATTTTAATCTACTGTTTCAGTAATTTCCTCCTTCAGAGTTTACCAAGACTGTCATACTGACTCTGATATCTGTTATTTATGTATTTTATTCATAGTCATAAGGTTTTTCTTATTGACTATCCATAGACATTTAGAGAGCTATCAATTTTTGCTATTAATATGCAGTGCTATCCTGAAGTAAATTTTGTGACAAAGGCATCACCTTACTCAGCAGCTGTGTTTCACTGGGGATTTAGAATTTTGTCTGCTGTATTTGTCATAACTTTTATTCTTTGTAGATGTGTAAATGAATGTAGGTGAGAGAGATGAATTTCTCTTTCTTTTCATTCATTATCATCAGAATGGTTTATTTAAGTACCAGAGAGTTACACAAATCTTTCGAAGGCAGTAGGAATAATAATGGGATATTGATACTGACTCATCTTTCTAACATGCTTAAGGCCTATTGATTAAAAAATGCAGTGTTATTGCTAAGAGGAGATATGCAGATGTGACATGGGGGAAGAAACTGAACGGGGCCTAACATGCGCAGGTGTCATTTAGGAAACATTTGGATACCCGCAACCTTTATTACTGCTGGTGATGCATGAGACAAAAATAACCAGTTTTAAATCTTGGATCTCATTGTAATCAGAAAAGAATTTTTCTTGTAGAAGCTTGAGAATGATTGGGAATTGCTGATAGAAAAATAGTATAATCTCACCTTTGGGAATTGAAGCTTTAAGGAAAAGTGATTATTTCTGGTTAAAATTTATAACAATAAATAATATTTACATTAATTCACAGTAGATTGTAAATTATTTTACATTTTGTGGTATATTTTCTTTAAAGTTGTCTTTTGAATTTTTAGGAGCACTGTTGCAATATTTGAAATGAAACATGTATGTCATAGCTAGGTGATTTGTGCTAATTTAATGATTAGTCAGCTAATTATGCAGCTTGGGACTTTACTTCTGCACTTCTTCCTTGGTCAAAATATCCCTTGTACTTCAGGTAACTTTAACTAAGAACAGCATCTTCCAAGTGCATGATACAAAAGCAAATGATTAAAAGCAAACCTCTCTCTTTTCATTTTAAAGTTTGTTTTTGGAAATACTGAGGAATACAGCCGAGTCCTCAGATGCGCTGCTTTTACAGTTGGCCTAATAGACCTTTATATCCGTTTTCTGGTTGATTTTAATACGGGATAGGAGAAAGGAAGAAATAATCAGTCTTAGCGTTGCTATGGCTTAATCCAGTTGCAACACTGAATAAGCCTAGGACCTGGTAAAATACTTTGGCCTCTGGTTTTCCCCCTTGTTAATTCTGGAGCATCCCAGCAGACCTCTTTATGGTGAGGAGAACAGAAGTGGTGCCACTAGCATAGCCTTTGGATTTTGGCTTTGAATTACAAAATGTTTTTGTGTGCCATGGAGGATTTCTAGCTTCCCGGCACAGCAGGGTGGAAGTCTGAAGATTCACCTCTTGGCATACTCTTGAAGATAGTTTTAACTTTAGGATACAGAAGGCCCATGTTGAATTTCTTGCTGTCTCACAGATTACCTGTGAGAAGTCATTGACAAGGTATATAAATTCTAATTACTAATTTCTGAGCCTGATATTTTAATGCAATTTTTGATATTTTGCTCTCTGGTAGTTTAGGATCTAAAGCACAGTTTTGGTCAGAAAAATGAGAACTGTGAAACAGCATCCTTTCTTTCCACAGGCACAGTGGGACAGTGCCCACTGAATTTGCTGGAAGGAGCATCCCTCTGTTGGGGAGCATGAGGGGAGTCCATCTAAATCTCGCCCTCAGTATGTGCAACTGGACAGGTCTGCACCTGCCCAAATCTATTTCCATCCTTCTAAGGAGGACTTTTGTCTGAGGCTGTTCCTGCACAGGTCACTTCTCTCAGAGGGGATCTTGGTTCCTTTCCAGCTCACGCGTTACCAACAAGTCATCGGCTAAGCTTTGATTGCAGCGTCTTAATTAATTGAGGCAGAAGGAAACCACCAAGGCTTTTGAGTCCCACTGTGAATTTGAAGTGCTTGCAGTTAGCAAATTTCTGGTTTGCACTGTAAACTGAACTGATTTTGTAGTAGAATAATAAATTATTAGGATTCGTGGCTATCTTTTGTACCAGAATATATTGGGCCCACTTCCAATATGAGCTGCATCGGGTAGATCAGAATTTGGCCCATACAGATCCTTTCATCTGAGGATTTCAGACTGCTTACCAGACATTAATTAATTTAAACTTCACAACACCCTTGAGACTGAATAAATACTGAACCTCACAGAGATGTTTGTTTCTGTATTTTGCAAAATATAAGCATGCTTAGAATTTCTAGGAAGTTTTTAAAGTCCAGAGGCAGATGAAGGTGAAGAAAACCAACACATGTGATACCCTTAACCACTAACAAAATAATTTTCACTCAGGAAAGGGATAGGTTTATTAATAGCAGTCAATTCCAACAATGGAAAATTGTTTTTATTTTTTATATAATGCATTTTATAATTGCTG